CTAACCGTGTCGCATTCGCATTAGGGGCGCATCAGTTGAGAGTCAGTGCAAGGAATAACAAGGCTAGAAGTGTAGCTGACGGTGAGGGCTGGAAATATAATCAACATGCGTCCACTTACCCAACACCAAGCAATAACTGCGGGTGAGGTCCGCCGACTTGAAGGTACACACGACCAGGTCAAGTCATGCTACTGGAAATGTAGTCAGGCCATCCGAAGACGCAATACAGCCCCAGACATGCCTCCGGGACGGAAGGCCGCCACCCTGTCCTGGCAACGAATAACCATATAGCGGTTCAGGAAATAGGAGAAAAAGAAAGTTAACTCGAAACAATAAAATCTGCGGCTCCTTGCTTCTAAAGACACATTCTTCAATAAGGTTCCGGCACTTGAGTTAAATCCCTTGCTGCAGTCAAGTTAACGCAGAACTTCGATTAAACATACATAATTGCGATGTCAGTTATTTGTAACAGACGTTTTTCTACTACTGACTACGGGCGCCTTCCGGCCCTGTAGCTACTAATAAACGTAGGGTAGATTTTGATTGCGTTTCAAAGCACAAAAAGCCGGTCACTAGCTTAAATATCACTACAAGCGGCAGTTAACAGAATCACTACTAAAAAAGAGATTTCCAGACAAGCTTCTAGTCCGTATGGCACTTACCGAATGTGTTTGGAAAGGTAGGCGGTATTTATTGCATTTCAAGGAAATCACCCTCAGTAGTAGAATGAGAAGTTATTTCCAAGCCTACCTGACTGCATTCGCAAAGTGGGGTCATTTTTACGGTTGCGCAGAGAAGCATAGTCATAAACCTGAAGCCTCCAAAAGACAGACTCGCCTAAATTATTATCGCTTTAGAAAAATGACCTTCACGAATATAGAAGAGAAGCGGATCCCGGCCCAAATTCATCGGATCAATCCGCATAGCCTTGGTTTTCATTGTGCATAAAAACGTGACACCAATTAAATTCAATCAAAGTAGACACTTATGTTCTTAGATTGAGAAAGCATCGCAAGTTAGTGGACCCATGTAAGCAAGCAGACAACTTTCAACTTACCACTTTACATATGACTACGATGATGAGCACAAATATGAAGCCACGGAATTACAAATAAGTACAAGGTACACAAAAGAAAACAAATAAATGCACGTCATGAAGAAACGGCAAAGTCAGTTTTAAGAATGTCAAGTAATTGGGATACGCTCATTTGGAGGATTTCAGCCCGATCCTCTGCTGTTCCGCGTCGAACACAGTCTGCAGAATTCGCTTGTGTCGTCGTCATCGTTGAAGAAATGCCATGTAGAGCT